TGGGTCTGCATGTCAGGTGAGCCACCCTTGTCCCTGCTGCCCCCATCATCTCTGCCCTGGGCATGGGGCACCCCACACAGCCCCCGTGGGTGATGGCCAGAGGGCCTTGGCCCCAAGGGATGGCTGAGCAGATTGCAAAAGGCTGGGAGAGGGAAGTGCACAGAAGGAGCCACCTGCCAAAGTGCCCACGTGCCATTCTGGGCTGCTGGGGAAAGACCAGGCCTGTGTGAGTGAGTGCTGGGAGAGCTTTGCCCACCCTGGTCACGGTCCATGGTTTTGCCCCTGACAGGGAGATGCGCCGCCAGTTGACCTCCTCCCATTCTCCACTGGCAATCCACCTGCTTGGGATGCTCAGCAGTGTGGACCCCCGTTGGGAGCTGCCTGCCCTGGAGTTCCTTGTGGAGGTGAGCCTGATAGCCAGCACTGCCTGGCCCGCCTGCCTGCCCCTCTCTGCCCTCTGGCAGCCGCTGCTGGGACGGTGCCTGCGCCCTGTGCTGCTACCTGGGCACAGCCCTGGGCGGCTCTGGGCTCCTGCCACCCGGGCACCCATCACTGCCCTCTGCCTTCCAGGTTCTGGACTATCTGGACGGGAGAGAATGTCATGGCAGTGTCCAGCAGATCCTGTCGAGGCACCTGCAGAGCGAGTGCCCAGAGAGACGTCGCTTGGCTCTGAGAGGCCGCATGGTGCTGTGGATGGATCTGTCAATGGTGAGAAGGGCACACCCGGTTGAAGCCACACGGGCAGTCTGGGGTGGGGGAACGCAGTCCCTTGGCCTTGGCTGAGCTTTGGGAGCTGTGGCTGCTGCTCCCAGCTCTCCTGCCTCCCTCTTCAGCTACAGGGGCCCTGTGGGGCCTTTGGCCTCTGGGTCCCGGGGCAGCAGGGTGGGGTTGCACCACCAGGGAGCTGTTGGTGGGCAGCTGTTTGGGGTGTGACAGCACAGCACCGTGTTCCACACAGGCAAAAAGCATCTGCAGCCTGTCTCAACACCTCCTGGAGCTGCTGCCTGACGCAGATGGAGACGTGATGGTGGTGACCCTCTCTGTGCTGGTGAATGAGCTCCAGGGTGAAGACATTCAGGCGATCCTCTCCACTGCCCCCAAGCTGGCTGAGGCTCTCCGGCCTCTCTTTGAGAAGGTAAGGCTCTGTGCCCCCCAGCCACGGGCACTGGGTGCTGCCAGGAGACTTTGTGCCTTGTGGATTTTCAGGCCT